TTTGACATGGATTAGTTTTTTATTCATTAGTTTACCAACAGTGTTCCACAATTACATCACAAAAATAAGGTTTTTGTAATATTTTACTAATTTGCTAAAATGAGAGGCTGAAATATCCCATTTCCATTATTAGTACTTGAATAAAGTACCTTTGGTGGTAGCAGCCTCGAGTCTCCTTGCACATTAAGCTGCAAGCTTAGCAAACCTTTTGTTGGAGGTTTCCACCTATTTTCTTGAAAGAATTTCTGTAACCAAATTTGATAACATGTTGATTCACAGCCATTCTCAGGTCTCCTCAGAAATATTCCTTTGAGTTCAAGTCCAGTGTTTGGCTTAGACGCCCCAAGACTACTGCAATGCTTTGTTTATGGAAGACAGTCTTTAGATTTCAACAAGGTTATTCCTGTGGAATAATCTTGTTGTTCATTTTTTCATCCTTGTCTCATTAATAGGTTTACTTAAATCTTGCCAGGATAAGATTCATACCAAAAAAAAGATTGATGTCAGTGGAAAGACAGCAGTGAAAGAAACCACAAAAGAAAGAAACCACAAAAAAGGTTAGAACCACTGCAACACAGCTCAGGTTTGTGCAAGATTGCCTTGATCTTCTAGGGAAATGTGCTGACTGCAGATGAAAAAAAATGATGGATTTTTTTTTCTTTTTTGTTAGAAAAATGCAGGTACATTCAGATTTTCATTTACCTTTAACAGCCTGTTCCATAACCGATTGCTCAATATGTTTAATAGAAACATGAAAGGTACAACAGCGTGTTATTAGTTTAGTCAGATCTTCTATAATTAGGATTTGGAAGATCACATCCTGATGCTGATGAGAAATTCTCTTAATTCCAAAGATATACCAAACTGTCTGTTGCCCTTGCAGCTTGCAAAACACAGGACATGAATAAATACTGTCTGCCCATATCTCTTAGCCATTATACCGTATCAAATCACATACAAAGACAGATGTGCTTAATCACTCATTTCTTACACAATATTGTATATATAGAATGTAGATGGATAATATACTTCTTTCTTCTCACTCCTTGGGACTTGATTGCATGCCTTACCTTCAGGGGCAGGCTGATTTATGAGACACATGCCTGTTTTTTCATGACTTGTTTGATTGCATTCTCAGCTATCGGGCACATAGGCTGCCAAAACCATAAAAATTCACACCTGCACAGAACTCCTAGTCAGATGAACATCAGGCAAAGCATGGGGAAGCAGGTGATCTGAGGTATGCTGTTTCCCTTGATCATAATCGCAATGACATGATTGATTGATGTTCATTGTATCTTTACAAAAGCCTTCTTTTTAGGTCCAGTTTGAACGTTGCGTAGGGCTTGGCACACGCTTTGGTCGTGAATCTCGGTACACCACCCATTCTAATACTGTTCTCTAAGCTTGTGTTTTTCTTTTAGTTGCTAACAATACAAATATGAAAAGTAGGAAAAATATAACTTCAAGTTCTCACAAGTTTTAAAAAGATATCTGCCATTGCCTAATCATGTCCTGAATGTACCGAATCAAACAACCCAAGCTGTCTATTCCCATGTCATTACAAATGACCTTCTGTAGAAATAATGCAATAAGTGTTGTCTCCTATCTACATTCTCTGGGTACTTTTTCACTTGCCCTGACACAATTGTGCATTTATCAGTGTAATTGCATGAGTCGGAAGCACTGATGTTGTCTATTAGGCGGATTTCCATCCTGTTAAGAGCAGAGGGCCTTTTAATGTATGGCCCTGGTTGAGTGTACTGCTACACAATTACACACTGGCCAGAGATTGAGTGGGCTGATGATGCTGTTGATTGGGATGGTGCTGATGGCAGTGATGATATTGGACCACCCTGCACTCTTCTAACAAGCCTTTCAGAGAGCATCTAAGAGGGAAACAACAAAGTGAAACCGAGGTTAATCATTTTATTTACTCCCTTTTTCTCTCCCTCTCGTTCCCCTACCTCTCCTTCTGCCTTTCCTTTCTTTAACCAAGTGATGGAGCTCGGACCATGGAGCGGGGGGGAGGAAATCGATAGGGAGCGCATTACAGTAAAACGTATTGATTAGGAGACCTGCGAGCAGTGTGTTGGTCGCAGAGATGGTGGAATGATGCAATGCTTAAAGGAATTTATCCTTTGACTTTTACATTAACCTTTTATTGACTGCTTTGCCTGTCCATAATTAACACTCACTTTAGCTAAAGTGGTTAGTTTGAGCGCAAAGGGGGCTCCAGCCCTTATTGCAGCAAGGGCCGTGGCGCTCCCACCCCAGCCGCAGTTCAAGTGCACTGTACTGCAAGAAGGGAAAGGCCTCTGAAGAATTGAGGCGATAGAATGCTAGATACCTTTCACATTAGCATACCATTTTAGCGGGGGCCTGCTAGGCTATAAGGTTTCAGGGCAAATTGAAATGAGTGATTGTATTGCCAATCTCTCTTGACCGAGCGCCAGATGGGATAGTTAGGCCCATATCTGTCTGGGGTTAATCCATTGGAACAGCCTGGACTCACAAACACAACCTCTCCCTCCTTCACCCACACCCTCACTCGCACATACACACCTCTTTGTCTTTGACCTTAACTTTAAGGTGGACTGTTCTGCCATGGGAAAGTCTTTTGGTGAGCCTTGTTTGTACGCCACTGTGGCTTAGACAGAATTTCTAGCAAGAGCCCACGAGAGCTTAAAGCACCTCGCTTGATATTGACTTTTTGTTTGGTTCCATTTTAGCAGTCAGGGGACGGTACTCTGTGAACAGTGATAGACTGTGTAAAAGTGCGCGCTGAATTACCTACACTATATTATCTTTGATAGTCTTCCAGTCTCGATATCTTTTATATCTCTGGTAAACCTGGCACCTTCTATTTGCAAGCTAATGCTGCAAGATCTGTTGTCAAATAAATGCAGTATCTCTGTTGAAGTGAGCTACTCAGTTTTTTTTATTGTATGTAGCCTTTCATTATGAGTCAGGGAAGTAGAGAAGAAGCAAGTGTTTTCTCTCATAGCTCTGGAGTTTGAATACTTAATCACACCAAATCAAAAGCCTGGGTTCCCTTGGTCTATGGTGTCCTCAAGCTGATGTCAGCAGAACCACAGTTTGTGTGTGTGTGTGCATGCTGTCTGGGTCAGTTTGCACTTGCACACTCTGTAGATACGTATGCCAGCCATGTCCCCCTCCTCCTCCTCCTCCTCCTCCTCCTCCTCCTTCTCTGAAGTGGTGCTTCCTTTAATTCGCACCCTAAATAAATGATGAGAACATTTAAACACACGGCTCGTCGCAAAGCCCCAAGGTCGCCTAATCGTATTATTTATGAAGTGATGTGCTACATAATGGTACTTAGTGCATGTTAACAGATGCTATTATCAGGCCCTGATCCAGAGCACAGAAGATATATTGGACAGTGGATGTTAATGCTACTCCTCACCACCATAATGCAGGAGATCCTTAAAGGGCTAACCGCACCAAAATGCAGCACTTAGGCAGAGGGCCAGTTAAACATTAAGTGGCTCATGTGAATATATATAACCACAAATTGTGGCAGCCCTCGGTTGTCCCCTAACACTTGAACATTCCCTCATCCCATCCACAACCGATCCTCATATCCTGCTGTTCAGCTCTCTGTGGCCCCTCCTTCAGTCACTAACCACAAGGTGGTGGTGACTGTGTGCATTTGTCTGTGTTATGGGTTTGTTCGGGGGGTTTTAGGGTGTGCATAGGGTAAAGAGATATGACAAGACAGACCCTGGCATAATGATTGAATGGAAAATATAACTGACCCCGTTTCTGTAGATAGGAAATCTTAGGTCACTATTCACAAGCACACAAGGACACACTACACACGCAACATACAAATGCCATCCTCCAGCTCTCCCTCTTGCACCTCCAGGTCAGAGGTCACCCTCATCTGTCAAGAAGCAGAGGGAGGGTAGATTTACAATGACAGCAGAGAGCAACACAGAGTCACAGCAGTAAATATTTACACAGGTCTAACAAAAGATGTGGCTAAGGTCTGTAGGGGTTCCAAGCATGGTGGAAATTACAACTAACCTCAGATTGTTAATCATACAAAAATCACGCAGTGACATGAAGAGGCAGGATTTCTCACTGCTCTGTCATTATTGCAACAAGAGAGAGTGATGTTCTTGTGAAAGCATCCTGCAGTGTGTGCCTGTATGTTTGTAAGATGAATGGGGCATTAATCATGATACATGATATCATGGTTTCCCATCACCTTAATGCTGTTGCAACACTTCACTGATGTGTCACATCTCTGTTTTTCTCATCTCCATTCAGTTCAAGTTTTACTGGCTTGGGAGTTTCCAAGTATTTCAGTAGTTTCAAACCAAATTGCATGCAGACACATCATTTAAATGCCCTCAACAATATCTAGTGAAGAGAAAAACATTTCTTTGTTTATTTGTAATAAAACTGCATGCTGTTTCTTTTGTGGATCATACAGAGACAAACTTACTCTCCTGTCCTGCTGGTTCTACCTGGACAAAGTATTACTGTGAGTCATGAAAACAAAAGGAGGCAGAAAACTGTTAAAAAAACTTGCTTCTGGTCAAACTCACAATAGAGATTTTGGCTTTAAAAACAAGTTTAAACACACACATGCTCACACACAGACATCATTGCCTAAACAACTTGACTTTTTTTGGAAATTACGCCCTTAAATTGCTCTTCATTGACTAGATAAAAACACGATAGAAAGATCTCCGTTTATCTTTGTCTACTAGAGTTCCACCATCATTGACAAGTATTAGTTAGTGTTAGTATTTACTTGTAAACACATCTCATAAAACTTTCAGGTGAAAGCCTGGCTTTGGCAAGCTGTAGTAGGATGCAAATATAAATATAAAAAATAAAAACATGAAGAAAGTTTTGTGAGTGGGGTGAGACGTGGCCTTTTGGTGATGAGTCTCTACCTACTTGTGCTTTAACGGGAGGGAGGAGTAAATGGGATTTTTTTTGTTTCCTGTGTTCTGTCGCCTCAGGTGCCACTCAAGTCTGGCCCAGACATTGCCCCCCGAGGAGGCCCCAGTGGACCGGCCCTTCTGGGGTGTGGATGACCCCAGCATGCCTCTGCCCTTTGATCTGGCTGACATCATTAACAGAGTGGAGTCACTGCTCTGGAGGTGAGTGTAAGATTTGACATGTTGAAATGTGTTTATGTACACACTGAATACATGTATCTATCTCATGCAGCATAGATCTAGTCGCAGAGGATTCACTTATTCATTCATTACCCAGCTGTGGTCATCTGTGAACAATGCTGTTGTTTAATGTTATGTAATATTAGTTAAATTGTCCAAATGATTAAGTAAACCAAATGACGTTAAAATAAATAAATAATTCTAATTGGCGTTGACAGACACTGGTATTTTGGTTTCAGTTTTAAGCTTTGGAATCTCATGCTTTTAAAATGGTATGGATTTGTCACTTCATGCACAACTAGACACCTTACATGTTGTCATACTTTAAATATGCGCACCTGCTCCGCAAGTCGTGTCATAGACCCTTGTAAAAATTGTGAGGAATTTCTTGGAGTTGCTATTTGCATTGGCAAATACATGACATTGGGTGTAATTGGTCTTCCTGTTGGCATGAATCCTAGGTCCTGCTGATTTTGCATGGAGACATCTATAGTCTTTCGTTGACCTGCATCTAAAACACAAGTTAACTTCACATGAGAACTTACATTCAGTCACGATATCTGATCAAATTTGACCTCTGTCCATTTCTTCTCTTTCTCTGACAGGATGTAAATATGGATAGAGGAAACAAGGAAGCAAGAAAAAAATGACCCACCAGCTTTTCTGAATGATCCCCACATTAGCTGAGGGGACAGACCAGATTGATTTCCTTTTGATTAGGCCATCTACATCACCCCCGACTCCACCCTCCACTACCCCAGCTGACCCCAGCATCTCAGTCACCTCAACTTGGATTGGCTGGAAGGAAACCAACACAAGAATAGTGCTTCAGTAACATGCTAACAAACGCAATGCTTAGTACCAAGCCACTAGTGTCACAACGGTCTAACAAAACATATATGGAACCCGCATTTCAGTGTTAACATACAACATTGTGTTACTATTTATTATTTCAGTGTACTTTGTTACCTAATCTCATGTAACCCAGACATGCTTTTATCAGTGGATTGTTCTCATTCTCAGTAGTCATAGTACAGTACATACATATATGCTTTCTACTTGTCACACAGTGTTATAATACAGTGTAGAATGGTAAGAAAACTCACTTTGCTCACAGGCTATTGCATTCTTCACTTGTGTATAGTGTAACCCTTTTATTGTGTTAAGAAGTGAAATGAGCCAGAAAAGACCAAAGAACGATTATAAGAGGATGGTTATGAATGTCATCCAATGGAGTACATGAAGAATATGTTGTTAAGTGTTTATGGTGCAGTGGTGTGCTTGTGCCATATTAATATATGTGTGTGTGTGTGTGTGTGTGTGTGTGTGTGTGTGCGTGCGTGCGTGCGTGCGTGCGTGCGTGCATAAGAGCGTTCACTCTCCCAAATGTCTACATGAAAGCGTGTGTGTACGAATGTGATAGTGTGTGAGCCTGTAGGCAGCCTGCCAGTTGTTTGTTCTTGAAGATGTGCATATGGAGAAACAGAGACTAGCAGCAGGGCCCCTCTGCTACTGCTCTGATGAAAGGCAGCATTGATAGAATGACCCGGAACACAACCGCCGTTTCTCATAATTACAGCTGTTCAATCGCTTTTAATTACTCTTAAAGTGTGTAGAGCACCACATTCCCCTGTAATGCTGCAGGCCATCTAGAGAGTGAGAGAAAGATCCGGCACTTCTGACAAAATCCACATTCAAAAAAGCTAAAAAGGGTGGAAAAGGGGGCCGACGTCAAAGCAGTGTAGCAGCCCTCCTCGTTTGATTTCTTTCTCTATCTAGTTCATGATGAAGTAGAGATGCTGTTTACTATTAAAAATGCAGAATGCACTCCTTTTTTTACTTCTGAAGTTTTTTCCAAGATGTTAATGGTTGCCAAACGCTGTTCTTCTTGCTTCTTCTTTTGCTGCGCCTTTGTTGTTTGTTGTTGTCAGAGAGATTTGTTTGTAGATTGGCAGTAGCTTTGACTTGTTTGAATCACTCTGTGCTCCCTGCGCCACAGCTTGTCTGTCTGAAGCAATAGGAATGGCAGTAAATAAAAAAAACAGTGTTTTATCCAATGATCTCCATTCTTCTCATTTTTTTAGAATTGCAAATGGACAACAAATATGGTACACATGTTTCTTCATTCGTGTGTGTGAGGTTCAAATGTCGATCGACTGTATTTTTACTAATATTTTTGACCTATAAACCAATCCAATCCATGCAGGCATGTGTGTCAATGCCTTCCCACTGGGTTGAAGGTGAGTTACTGAGCTTTGAAGCAGCCACTTTCTAAATACTCAGGATTCCACAAGACAAATAAGGCAGCAATGAGAGAGATCCATAGTGTAATGGTGAAGGTCACTGACAGGAGCATGCACGTTATATGCACAGTTGTCCTACCAGTATTTCCTGATAAGTAAGAAGTTAAAAAATCATATTGAAGATGCTTAGAGTGTGAAAAAAGTCCCATTTAGTTTCAGCACAGCACTGTATCCAGAACCTTAAATATAATAAAAACATTTGAATAACAAGATAATAAGCCCAATAATTCTCTATAGACAAAAAAAGGAAGCATTTGTGTCGGGTATTTTTATCTGTTTTCCTCTGACTCAGACCTCAAAGGAAACGGTTTGAGTAGCAGTGCAAACATCTTCTACAACAGATTGATTGATGGATTAACTTGATTGATTGAGTGATGTCATTCCCTGCAACGAAGTGATGGCTAATATTCTGTATTCCACTCTGAAACCTCAACTCCACACCTTTTACAAGCCGCCATCCCAAAGGTTGCTTATGTTAACTACTTCCTGTAGTGGCTGAGTGACTGAGTGATGGATGAGTGTGGAGCGTTCTCCCCTCAGGGGTCGACTGAAAAAGGTCACCACTTGAAGAGACAATTACACAGCACTGGTAAGAGCCACAGGTATGCATTGTTCTGACCGGGGTCAGCCGCCAGCCAAGCAGCCAAGCCACCGTCAATTAGGCCAACAATAGGCGCAGGGAAAGATAAAATAACCAGGTGTGTGGTTGGGAAAGGTATCAGTTTGGGGTCATATCTCAGTCAAATGTTTCAGTGTGTGGCTTGAACGGCTGGGACTGATTGTGGTGTAGTTGAATGATATAAGGGAATGGGTTCAAATTTAAAGATGTCTCTATATCCAATTATATAGACATATAGACACACACATATATTTCTATATGTGTATAAGTGAGAAATTATTCTACCAATGTCTGCGAAGGACTGTTTCTATTAAGAACTAAGGAAATCTGACCTTAACCATGATCTGTTTAGATTACCCTCCGAACAAGTCACAGTCTGTTTGGATGAGGCTTTGTGCATTATCAGTACATGTGCAATGCATGCTAAAAATGTATGTTCAAGAATGAATACATGCATAAAAATGACTGAACGTGAGCCTGTACAAAGAAATAGATGTGTGTAATGTATCTGACCCAGTGTGTTTGTGTGTGTGTGTCCAAGGTTCCAGGGTGCTGGTTGTGGTTGGAAGTCCTGGGGCCAGAGAAGCAGTAGTAATTGTAGAAGCAGGCTGAAGAGCTGAAGATAGTATCGCAGCTCTGGGGCGGCTGTCAGCAGTGGGAAGGGCCATGCTCATTTGTCACCAACACAGACAAACACCACTCAACACCGACAAAACACTGACTTGATTGACTACATGTGAAGCAACACAAGCCCTAATGTTTTGCAACTGTTAATTGCACTAAAGGTCATAAAAAAGGCAGGCTGGAGAAGATTCACATCAGCATAAATACAAGGCAGCACATGAAAAGACTCACTGTAAATTATGACTTTGACTTTATCACCCTCCATTATTTTCCTGATTATATCCATCTTATTTAGATTTATCAATGGAATTTATATGTTACATGTTGCAAAATGTTACTCAATAAGGTCAAGATAAAATACTAGTGTAAAGTCCCTACTGATGTTCAATTTATATAGCTGGGTCTGTGAAAGTACTAAAGTGTAAATGTATGAATTTTTAAAGTCTCCTTTCCTTTCTTCTCTCTCCTTTCAGGTCGTGACCAGACCAAACCCAGGCAAAGTGGAGCTGCTAAAATCCGAAGCATCTGATCCTGCAAAGCACCTGTCCTCTCTTTTAGAAGTCTCATCACCACTGACGTCTTCCCAGGCCACAGTTCACTTAGTGTTAGAATGAGAGTGAAGTGATGGGTATGCCATGATGCTGATGTTGATGTAGTCGGGGGCCTGGCAACTGAGCAGCTCTGATGAACAGAGGGTATGTCATGATGAATGTGTGTGTATTTATCTGTGTGTAGATGAAAAGTGCAGAGGCAGTCTTGAGGGAGAGAGAGAGGCCTCGCAGATCAAACAGCAGTCTGATCTAATGTAGAGCATGTTTGTGGGTCGTTGCTGTGGCCCTGGCTCTAGTGACCAGCAGCCCCCCAAATCATCTGTCCTGCAGGACCACAATCTCTTTAGTTCTTCCACTCTCATTTTCAATCTGAAGTGGATGACCCATTTTTTCCTTTCATGCCTCATCTTTACCCGAGTCTTCCTGTACACCTCTGGTTAAGTTTTCACTCACTGTTCAAAGTTATAGTATCACTCAAGAATCAAGAAGATCAAAAGTATTTATAGACTAAAGTGCCTGTTCCGCTATGCGATGCGTTTATTTGAAATCACCTGGATTCTTTTAGGGCACCAGTCCAGAGCTGTTTTGGTTGTCAGTGCTCAGCTTTATCTCCTGAATGGTAGTATCATTTCAGCTTCACCTTTAGCTAACTTAAGTTCTTATTAGTGGTTATTGCGGACAGAACCTAGTGACAAATATTATGTTTGGTATAAACGAAAATATTGCACGTAGCATCACTGCAGACACATCATCCCCCTCCTCACTGTCTCACCGTAGCACGCACTGAGGCCTGTTTCTCCAGAGTGGTACCAAAGCGTCTCCACTCATACCTGTCTCCCTCTCTTGTCGTTGTGAGCCCTGTTAGCACCATGCCATTCATATCAGTGGGATTAAATAGATCGTTTTCCAGCGTTAGCAGCTTCTCCGCCAAGTGGTCTTGATGTCAGGCCAAGTATAATTGAGTCATCTGCATCTCATCTAAAATGGATGAAAGGACTTTTTGATATCGCACTCCCTCTCCCACTCATACACACACATGCAAACACACACACGAACACATACGCGTTTTTTTTTCTTTCTTTTTTTTCTGGGGTTTAGAGCAAGCAGCAAGCAGCTCCTGTGCACCATCATTTTATAACTATTAATTTTCACAACGTCCTTTGAGTCACTGTACTCTGTATTACAAAGAACCTTGTAATACACAGCTTTGGCCCGAACTACTAATATAGATTGTTTGAAGCTGTTTGCGCAAATGACCAGTGATAGTGTTTTTCTAGAAAGGGTAGTTTCATTTACATGAAAACACAAGATGAAAAGAACCACAGCTGGCAATAAATACCTTACAAGAGATGCATTATACTTCGAGGCAGTTGAGGACAAACATGTCATATTGACAATTTTTAAGTTAATTCAGTCTATTTTCAAATACTGCCATGTATTGCAGCTTTTGTCATATTTCAGATATAGACCATAACAAAACAACAAGCAAATGTCAGACAAATATGTAGATTTTTAAAAAAGATGAAAGAAAAATCTTGATGATGATGAAGAAGAGAATATTCAAAGTCAATAATAGCAGGCAGAAACATTTGGGTTAAAAAAAAATAGAAGTAGGAGCACACTGGCCTTCGAACTTAATTTTTCTATTTCAATTCTGTCATTCTGATTAATGTTTCTCGAGGAGGCAGACAAGACAAAACTGCAAATATTAGGTCATTAGATGTACAAGAGGTGAGAGATTGGAATAAGGAGGGACGAGGAATAGTTAAAAAGGGTAGTAAAGGAAGCAGGAAGGTGTGATGTATTTGACAGGAGAGATGCTCACCTTATCTGTTCCAACCTTGAGAATGAATTGCTGGCCAGCTTCTTTAAACACACACTCAAACACTCGGTGGCACACACACATACACACATATCCCCAACGCCAACATTGCTGCCCCTTGATTGACAGCCCTTCAAATGAGTGTCTGAGTAGCACTATGCTCTGGCCTTCCAAGTAAGTGGGCCGTCAAATTACATCCAGGGGACTGGCTGGCCCCCTCTCCCGTGGCAGAGGAGATCTATTTATTTGTGTGTTTATTTGCTTGGTTTAAATATTTGGTGGGGGAAAAATATTGAATTTTTGTCCCCCGGTCAAAGTCCCCTCATATTTAGTTAATAAAGAGCAGAGGAGGTTGTTTGCCCAGAAAAGTGCAGGATGGGGGACTTTATTTAAGGCAGTCCTCAGAGAGAGCTGGTGACCTTCTTCTCTTGGAGGAGAGGGCTGTGTACACTGTGCTGAGATTCACTCTCTCTGCCTCCACCAGCCATTCTCCAGTCTAGCTGTGTACTCAGACATGTTTTCTTCCCTTACTTTTACCTGCTCTCTGTCAATTTCCATCCATTCCTTCCCTTCTCGCAGGATCTTTGTCTTCTATTTCTCACACATCCTTACCTCACTTTTCCCTCTGCCTGCCTGTCTTTCTGTGGAGTCTTGCTCTATTCGAGTGGAGTCTCTCTCTGGATTCCCCAGGCTGCATCCAGGTTAAACTCTTAATTGCCTCGGCAGTAGGTGGTTTAAGGCGCTGGCTCACTACAGCTCAGCCAGTCCCTGTGCAGGGGGCTGCGGGGTGACTGGGGAGGGGTGAGTTGTTCTGTGTTCAATTGTGGTTGGTGTGTGCTGGCAGACAGTGCAGGTAGATGATAAAGACTTATTAATATAGATGATGGAGAGATGATGGAGATGACCTCTGACAGGAGTTCTACAGAGAGCTTTAGCTTCATGTCAGACATAAGACTATCTATCTATCTATCTATCTATCTATCTATCTATCTATCTATCTATCTATCTATCTATCTATCTATCTATCTATCTATCCATCCATCCATCCATCCATCCATCCATCCATCCATCCATCCATCCATCCATCCATCCATCCATCCATCCATCCATCCATCCATCCATCCATCC